AGGGGGGAAAATAAAAAAAGAGTGAGCTGTTACAATCTGATGAACTTGACCTACACCTATGGAGCAGCAACTCAAAAGAAGGAACAAATCCTTACAGCAAGAAATATTCCCACCCCCTCCACACACAGAGTGGACAGAGATGGGCAACTTGGACATTGGATACTCAAATGGGGAGGGGGGGACTACAAAGGCAAGAAGTGTCTGGCTTACAAGTTTTCAAGAGGGAACCTAGTGCTAGGGAGCATGGAGGAAGGCAGAATCTCCAGTGGGTACAATTCAATCTGTCTGGGCGGAGCTGATGAAAAGAAATACAGATGGGTAACTCGTGTGATACTGTAGCGAATAATGCTTATCAGGACGGATTGTGAGGGTTGGAAATGCAAAGGTAGACGTTTTGTAACAAGGAAGGGAGTGATTAATTCTCCAGGCTAGGAGCAGAGGTCTCTGGGACCATCAACAGAGAAGAGCCGAGAGCGGGACCCTACCCAGAGAAACAGATGCCTGAGATGGAGACGGAGACGATGACATGGAGTGATGAAGTGGCTGGGGACTTTGGATCCAGAGAGGGAAAGGGACTGTGGGCCGAAAACTGGGGGGGGAGGGAGGGAGAGGGAGGGGGAACTGTAGGGGGCAGGTTTCTAGGATATACCTTTTAGTTGGCTGATGATGCATGCAGGGGATTGGAACCATGGCAATGAGATGATATACGATAAACTAAAGCTCTCTCATGTAAACTATCATATAATTCACAATAAAACATTAAAAAAAGAAAACGAATCCTAACATCTGAGAAATGGACACTATATTGAAAGAGCAAAGGAGTAGATATGAAGCAATGGAACCCTGAATTAGTGAACCTGAAGTTAAATCTCTCAATACTAATATGCTAGAAGAACAATCAGAAAAAAGAATGAAAAAATCTGAAGACAGCCTAAGAGTTATGTGGGATACCCCAAAGAGGAATAACTTACGGGTGATTGGAATTCCAGAACAGGAAGAGACAATTGTCAAAGAGGTGTTTCAAAAACACTTCCCTAACATCATGAAAAACAAAAAGATAACCATTCAGGAAGTTGAAAGAACCCCAAACAGGATAGGCACAAAAAGAAAAGTACCAAGATATATGATAGCTAACTCTCCAAAAGCAAAGACAAGGAAAGAATCCTGAGCATAGCTCAAGAAAAGTGAAAAGTTACCTACAAAGGAGAACTAATAAGACTAAATTCTGATTTCTAAGCAGAAATCGCGTAGACAGGAAAATAATGGGATGACATATACTAAACTCTGAAAGAAAAAACTGCCAACCAGAATTATATACTCAGCAAAACTGTCCATAAGTACAATGGCAAATTTAGGACGTTTCCTGATAAACAGTATGTTCTGTAGACTGTGAACCAACAACAGCAGACAACAACCTGTAATTACCATACATAACACCACCTCCCAAAAATCAATCCAGATATAGATGTATTTAAAGTAAAACAAACCTACAAGACTAAAAATAGGGAACCAGAGATAGCAATTTATAATGAACTCAACTACATTATAAAAAGAGGGAATAGTGTGTAGATGTAGAATTCCCAAATGGCAAGGAAATCAAGATTTCAAGATAAAACAGACTTTAAAATAGGGGGGGAAATGAATACATTACAGGGTAACCTCAAGAAAATTAATACACCTGAAAATCAAAACAAAGAAACAGGAAAATTGAATTAATTTTCATAAAAAATAACACAAGAGAAATGAAAATAAAAAGAAAACTCACAAATAAAATGTACCAGCAGCACCACAAAAAAACATACAACAAATGACAGCAATCAATTCATTGTTGCTAAGGGCCATCGAGTCAGTTCCAACCCACAACGACCCTGTATAGGGTTTCCAAGGAGCAACTGGTGAGCCTGAATCACCAACAATGCTGTTCAAGCTGACTTTGCAGTCCAGTGCATTAACTCACATATCTATAATTACACAGAATGTAAATGAACTAAGTGCACTACTCAAGATACAAAGAGAGGAATGGAGCGGGGAAAAAAAGCAGAATACTTCAACATACTGTCTACAAAAGACCCACCATAAAGATGGAGACAGCCTAAATACCCATCAATGGAAGAATGGTTAAACAAACTTTGATACATACACACAACGTAATGCAAGTTGAAAAATTAAGTATGAATCTGCTAAGCAGCTGACAACATGAATGAACCTTAAGGACAGTGTGCTGAGTTGAAATTAGTCAATCACAGAGAGACAAATATTTTTTGAGACCAATGTTGTAAAGAGTTTAGAAAGGGTTTTCCTGCTAATCTATAATGGTTACGGGGGAGAGAAAATTACTCACAGGCTATAGGGAAGGTAAGGAGCTCTGGTAGCATAGTGGTTACAAATCGGACTAATCCCAAGGTCAGCAGTTCGAAACTACCAGCAGTTCCTGGGGAGAAAGATGAGGCTTTCTGCTCCCATAAAGATTTACAGCTTTGGAAACCCTATACAGGGTCACTATGAGTCAGATCTGACTCCACAGCACATCATCATCACCACCACCACCACCACCACAAGAGGGAAGGTACATATTAACATGGATGACAGGGCAGGCAATATACATCAAGAGGGAGATAAACGTAAGATGGAGACAAGGAGGAGTGCAAGAGTTAAAGTAAATCAAGGTAAATACTATTAACTATTGGTACACGGAGAGGATAGCAATCATTGTAATGAAGCAGTGTATGATTGTTCAATGTGAAACTGATCTGCTTTGTAAACCTTCTCAATAAAAGTTTAAAAAGGGAGAGAAGATTCAATACAGTTAACCAAAAAGGGCGACACAGTGGGACACCATGGAAAGTGCATTTGGGGGCATGGGGAGGCAGAAGGGGGCTCATGGGTGCCACACGCTCTCAAGTCTAGCCTGCTAATCTGCATTCTGCCCTTCGGAGACTCAAAGGAATGACGTTCTTATCATTTAAGCTGAAAAGGCACCCAAGAAAGGTATATAGCACGAAAACACCATGAACAATGGATGCTCTAGAGTGAGCTCAGAGTGGAGATGGAGGTGAAGAGCTCCAAGGTACAAGGGAAGGAGCTGTACAGCAGGTCACCAGTGCACCCTCAACAGATAATCCCACCTGGCATCCAATCTTGCCTGCCCTGCCCCTGGCACTCTTCCACTCTTACACACAGTAAGTTCCCCAGATGTCAGACAGGTCCTCAAAGCTGTGCTTCTGGCCAAGAGGACATTGACCAGCATGCCTACCTCTTCACAGCCCCAAGGGAAGTCCCTCCATGCTTCACTTCCTTTAGGAACCTACCCTGGTCAGCTAGCTACCTAGAAGCAGACCTGGAACACAGCATCTGGCACACCAGTATGGGCACTTCAGCCATGGCTGCCAGATAGGGCTCCTTGAGCCAAGGAGGTCAAGCATGCTATGCTGTACATGTGTACTCAGGGTACTTGAGAAAGATGACGAGCAAACCTTGGACTTCCAAAATACCTAAGAAGACACACAAGGATGCTCCAAAGCCAAAGTCCATGCTTTGGGAAAGGCTTCCCAAACTGTTTCCAGTACAAAGAGCAACGTGAGAGGAAGCCATGTGCTATCACAGGACACCTGGTGCTTAGCGGGGGGTTCACTCTTCACAAAGGCCCAGAGTGACAAGAGTTCAGGCTCTCACTCCTCACCCAGGTGTTTGTTCTCACCATTATTGGTTCCTGTGCCACTGCCCATACTGAAGCCCTGCTGGAGTCCCCACCCACCCACCCACCAAGCCAGGAAGCTCTGTCCAGCCTTGATAAACCTCTTGGCGATTGGAGGTTAGTGCTGAAAACCTTATCCTCTACATATACTACCAATGTCCATTTTAAAATGCAACCTGAGGCTATGGCTACTCCCATGTACCAGCTGCCTGTCACCTAGGAACAACGTCTTCCACAAATCAGCCCCTAGTCCCCTTGCCCTCCACTTCTCACACAGCCATTGGGATACCCCCACACCCTCTGAAGACTGGCCAGAACCCTGCCCAATCTTAAGCCAGCTCCACCCCTTGGAACACTCTGCCTGCCCTGGGCCACAGTGCACCCAGCTAGGTACTGCAGTGTCCTTAAACCCTATCCACCTTCCCACCCACTCACACCCCATCGCTCACCAGAGCAAGGACTCCATCTGTCTGCCTCCCAATCCCACGGAGCTGCAGCTGCTGCTCCCAACCCTGGAGCTGCTCTCAGTCATGAGGCCTGTAGATGCAGCTACCAGTCCTTCCCAAGCATCACTGGCTGGGAGAACAAACTTTTGAGGGGAGTTTCTTCAGAGATGCTGAGGGCCACCTCCCCTAATGGGATGAAGGTCAATGGAGGATTAGCCCCCATAGCCAGGAATGTAAACTGGCCATGCCCCCTCAGGCCCAGCACAGAAGGCAGGAAAAGTCACAGTTAAGAAATGGCAAAGGAGCGGGAGGGGTCACCACAGTCCTGCAGGCCAGCTTCCTCCCTGAGGGCAGGCAGCAGGGACTCTGCCCAGGCTGGCCTGGCTTTCCATGTTCTAGGGACACCATTCAGCCCACCCCTGTTCCCACTCCCAGCAGCCTGGCTTTATGACTTCATATGCTGAAGTCACCCAGGACAATGCTGAGCATTCCACCCCTCCAAGGCCAAGCCCAGCCCACCCAGAGCACTCCCCACAGTGTAAATGAGGACAATGCCTGCTGGCCCACGTGGGGAGGGGACGTAGAGGGCAGCTGCGGCGCCAGCCGCTCCTGGCACCATGGACGATGCTGCGGTCCTAAGGAAGAAGGGTTACATCGTGGGCATCAACCTGGGCAAGGGCTCCTATGCAAAAGTCAAATCAGCCTACTCTGAGCGCCTTAAGTTCAATGTGGCAGTCAAGATCATCGATCGAAAGAAAACACCCACTGACTTCGTGGAGAGGTTCCTTCCCCGGGAGATGGATATCCTGGCAACTGTTAACCACCGCTCCATCATCAAGACCTATGAAATCTTCGAGACTTCCGACGGGCGGATCTATATTGTCATGGAGCTTGGGGTCCAGGGTGACCTCCTTGAGTTTATCAAATGCCGGGGAGCCCTGCATGAAGATGTGGCACGCAAAATGTTCCGCCAGCTCTCGTCAGCCGTCAAGTACTGCCATGATCTGGACGTCGTCCACCGGGACCTCAAGTGCGAGAACCTGCTCCTCGACAAGGACTTCAACATCAAGCTGTCGGACTTCGGCTTTTCCAAGCGCTGCCTACGGGACGGAAGCGGCCGTATCATCCTCAGCAAGACCTTCTGTGGGTCGGCAGCATATGCGGCCCCTGAGGTGCTGCAGGGCATCCCCTACCAACCCAAGGTGTATGACATCTGGAGCCTGGGCGTGATCCTCTACATCATGGTATGCGGCTCCATGCCCTATGACGACTCCGACATCAAGAAGATGCTACGCATCCAGAAGGAACACCGTGTGGATTTTCCTCGCTCCAAGAATCTGACAAGTGAGTGCAAGGACCTCATCTACCGCATCCTGCAGCCAGATGTCAACCGGCGCCTGCACATCGATGAGATCCTTAGCCACACCTGGCTGCAGCCCCCCAAGCCCAAAGCCATGTCTTCCAGTTCCTTCAAGAGGGAGGGAGAGGGTAAGTACCGGGCCGAGTGCAAACTGGACACCCGACCAGGCTCTCGGCCCGACCACCGACCTGACCACAAACTGGGAGCTAAAAACCAGCACCGGATGCTGGTGGTGCCCGAGAATGAGGACAGCAGGATGGAGGACAGGCTGGCCGAGACCTCCAGAGCCAAAGACCATTACCCCTCTGGAGCTGAGGTGGGGAAAGCAAGCATCTAGCAGTGGTGAGGCCCCCAGGTGGCGTGGTGAGTGGTGGGCACGCACATAAACTAAGTAGCCAGGTAGACGTTGAAGAAGGCACAGGTGCAAGAACAAGTAAAATACGTCAATTAAACCACTATTTTGATTACGTTCTATTAGCTTTCTTCCACTCAGTAGCAAAGACGTTAATTACAGACCAGCTAATAAATCACAAAGTATATACAAGTTGCAACAGTGCCCAATGAGGAATCTTTTTCTCTAGGACTCAGTCAGCCCCTGCCTGCCCATGGGAGGGTTTCTAGGTCCAGTGATTCAACAGTAGTCACCCTCTGATCTATTCCCATTTCCACTGCCTACAGGGTTGGGAGAAGTCCACCACCTCAGAAGTAAGGCAGCCTGCTCTGACTCTATCAAACACCCTCTGAAGATCACTTCACAGTGTCTTACTCACCTCCTAACCCTGACTGCCCTCCCCAACCTCTCACTGTTCCTGTCTAACCCCACTCTAGGTCAGTTTCTGAGCTTGCCACAAGACACCAGCACATGGCCCATACTAGTCAAGTGCTCTTAGTGTTCTGCTCCCTTCTCCATCTGATTCATGTCTACTCCCACCTCTGCCTCCCCACTTTCCAGGGTCTTCCTGGAGTCAAGACAACCCTTTCCTATAGTGAACCAGTATCTTCCTGACCCCTAAGCAGATGCAGCTTCCAGTACAACCTCTCTTGGTGGTCCAGAGCCTACTGGGGTCTCAGCTCTAACAGGAATGTGCAGGAACTCACTCAGAAACACAGTTCAGTGTTGTCCCAGGCAGCAACTGTCAGGCTGGCCTTCACAGGACATTGAGGAAGACTTATGGGAGGCAGTGGACAGATGGAGGAAGCCTTGGCAGAGGAAGCCCAAAGCAGACAGCCAGGTGCAGGTTGGGTGTACTCACTAGTCCTGAGTGGACTCCCAAGGTTCCAGAGTTCCAGAGCCCCCACAATCTGTGATCCCCACCAGCTCTGTTACTAGGGCATAGCCCTTTCCACCTTGGCTGCATAGGAGGTGCCCAGGATCAGGGGCTGCAGGTGTCCTGTGGCTCAGGCATTGATGTCTTCATGCTTCAGGGCAAGTGCTGACCCAGGGTGCACTCAGCCCTCCCAGATCCAACGGGAGTCCTGCCCATGTCTCTGTACACTGAGATCCACATTACTGTATCTGGGGGCTCCTACTACAGGGTAGCCATGGAGGGGAAGAGGCTAGGGACACTGGTGTGCAGTGGAATGCACCAGGACACAGGAGAGGTGCTGGCTGATGCCCTGGGAAAGGTTCCCTATGCTAGGGCGAGGTCCTGGTCATTGACAAAATCATGCAGGGTCAGGCCAGGTGGGAAGGCCATGGACCTGGCTCAGAATTCTAGACTAGACTCTCTGGTGGCACAACCTCCAAGGGTTTCCACCCCACTCTCAGAAGATGGCGAAACTGGAGTGAGGAGGGCCACAATGTGAGCTCAGTTCAGAGGTAGGTTGCCAATTCCAGGAGTTACCGAAGGTCATGCAGAGGGTGGCAGGACAGGCCCTGTCACCCTGCTCCTCCAGCAGTCATCCCAAAGCAGACTCCCCTGGGTGTCCCACCATCCTGAATTCAGGTGCTATGGCCAGTTCAGGATCCAGTGCCCAGCGGACAGAAGGGCATTCCTGCCAGACTCTACTAGTTGCTCTTTAATGACAGCGTAGATGGGTTTAAATAGAAAACAGTGCCAATACATCCCAGGTGGCATGTGAGTGTCCTGGGCTGGGCCTGGCCTTACCACTGCACCTTTCCACTGACAGGCAACTGCCTCTGTCCCAGGCACACCAGAGTCCTCTGCAAGAGGCCCCGAGCATACCCTAGAAGAAGTCTGAGGCCTTGCGCCGGACAGGCAGCTGCAGCAAGTTGTCCGTGATGGAGGCTGGGTCCTGGATGAGGGGAGTGCGGGTGGCAGAGCCCGGAGCTGGTGTGCTCCTGGGGGTCTGGGGGCCCCCAGCTGGGGTCTTGAGGTGGGTTGAGTGCGCTGGTGATGGAGTGTAGCTGGCCCGCAGGGCCCGGTCTGTGTACTTGCTAGCTGTCCTGCTCACAAGACGTTGCAAGGCTGGGGACATGGCTGGGCTCAGGCCTTTGGGAGTGAGGCTGGCGTGGAGGAGTGGACAAGAAAGGCAGTAAGATTAGGCCAGGTCAGATACCCCAGCCTCCCCTTGGGTCATTAAGAGTTGAGAACGAAGATGCTAGGCAGGGCAGTGGTGGAGTCTGGCACACAGCAATGAGACCAGACCAATGTCAGGCCACAGTGCTGCCCTTAGCTGGGGGGGCTGGGTGGACCCAGACCTCTTCAGGGAGAATGACACCAGCTGCCTCCACAGACAAAAGGAGCTCACAGTGGGACCACCTAGTTACAAGAGCCTCTCGAGCAGGCCATGTGGAGGATACTGGAAACAGAGGGACAGAGGGGAGCCATTCATCCTGATTCACATCAGTCATGCTCCGGATCACAGGATCCCTGGGCCCCAAGACCTACTCTGCAGACTGAACGACCACCATCAAGGGCTGGGGCCCACTCAGACCAGTCCTTACCTGGCCAGGTTCTCCGTCACTCTCCGTAAGGCCTCCTGCTTCTTGGCCCGGTTCTTGGCGGCAGCCTCATTGGCCATCTTCAGCCCTAGTCGCTCCCGACGTCCAGGCTCCAAGATCTACAAGGCAGCAGTGAGTGGCATTGGCACCGGCCCTGAGGTCAAGTCCAGACTTAGCACCGGTCTCTTTCCCACAGTCTCTAAAAACCAAAGGAGCCCTGGAGACCATGTGGGTTAGGTAATGGGCTGCTAAACACAAGGTCAGCAGTTCAAGTCAACTAACTGCTCAGTGGGAGAAAGAAGAAGTTATCTGCTCCCATAAAGACTTACACAGGGGTTGAACAAACAGGATGGCGGACACGATGGAAGTGCAGTGAGGAGCTCCGTTAGCAACAACACAGAATACCAGACCAAGAAGGCTCAAGGGATGGTCCCAGAACTCTCAACCACATATAAAGGAATATTTAGAAGGTTGGAAGGCTTACAGCCAGGGGAATTTTTAGTAGAAGCAAGAAATCCAGTGCTTTCTAATCCAAGGTGCTCAGCTGCTCTCATAGCCATCTTGGGCAAGACCCAGCAAGGGAAGGATCAGAGCAGCCACGACACCTGACAGAACCACGGAGATAAAGGTATGGACATTCTTTTTTTTTTTTTTGTATCTGTTCATTGGTCTCTCACTGTCTGCGCACCTCCATTCTGGGGACTAGAGGGGGTGATGAGCGAGTGGACACCTCAACCCCAACCCCAGAGGGTTCTAGTATGCATGCGCACAAATCTCCTTGAAATCTAAAGGCACAGTTTCCACTTAAAACCAAACGGCCAGAGCCGGCCCTGAACTAGGAAAAAGGCCTGAACGGGGACTGTGGAGCAGGACAGGCAGGCTAAAAAGGAAATAGGCTGAAAATTAAATCCTGAGTTACATCATAACGACAAACAGTGGCATCTTGAAATTTCTCAGGAAGAAGAGTAAAAATGGAAGTTCATCTCCTGATCACATCTACCTAGAGGCAATCAGAAAGCATAAAAAATACCAGAATACGCATCCATGTAAGTATTAAGGCCAGATCTAACCCCTGAATATGCCCAAAAAACAAACAGATGACCATATCAGCACATGTCCAGAGACAAGATAAAGTGACTAAGGCAAATGAGCTGGAAGTAGACCTACACTCCATACTGGAAGATGGACAGACTTTGGAAATGCTGGAGAAGGAAATCAGAAAAACGATTATAAAATGTATCAAAACTCTATACAATGGAGTTGAGAAAAATAAGGAAGAAGTCATTCAAAGTGCTACAGGAATAATCAAATAAGATAAATACAGCACTGGAAACAATTCAAAACCTACAGAAAGAGGTCCAAACGATTAATAATAGAATATCAGAAATGGGCAATACACTGAAAGGGCAAAGGAGTTGAATGGAAGAGATAGAAGCCAGAACTAATGACAATCTAGAAGATAATCTAGATTATCACTAGAAATCTCTCAACAATACTAAGATAGAAGAGCAAATTAAAAAAAGGATTTAAAAATCTCAAGAATGCCTAGGATGCCTATTGGACAACATGAAGACGAATAACTAAAGAATTATCAGCATTCCGGAGCAGGAAGAATCAGACAAGTCCACAGAGGAGATAGTTGAAGAGCTTCTGGAAGAAAATTTTCCTAACATTCTGAAAAGTGAAAAGATAAGCATTCAAGAAGCTCAACAAATCCCAGGAAGGATAGAACCTAAAAGATAATCACCAAGACAGATAATAATCAAGCTCTCCAAAATTAAAGATAAGGGCAGAATCCTGAAAGTAGCTAGGGAAAACAGAAGTGTAACACACAAAGGTAAGCAAATCAGATTAAGTTCAGATCTCTCAACAGAAACCATACAGGCAAGAAGGCAATGGAGGGGAGAAGATGGCTGGCCCAGCAGTGACCAGGCTCTCCCAGGTGCGGGGCTTCAGTACATCTGTGGTCAGGCCATTTGCCAAGCTTGTGAGGCCACCTATTCAAATATATGGTTTTGATGGTCGTTATGCTACTGCCCTTTTCTCTGCTGCATCTAAGCAGAATAAATTGGATCAAGTAGAAAAGGAGTTGGTGAAAGTAGCACAACTTCTGAAGGATCCGAAAGTGGCTCTTGCTATTCTGAATCCCCATGTCAAGCGTTCCATTAAAGTGAAAAGCATAAATGACATCGTAGCAAAAGAGAGACTGTCTTCCCTCACATCCAATCTGATCAATTTACTTGCTGAAAATGGTCGCTTGAACACCCCAGGCGTCATTTCTGCCTTTTCAACCATCATGAGTGTCCACTGTGGAGAAGTCCCTTGCACAGTTACCACTGCAACTCCCTTAGACAATGCCTCTCTTTCTGAATTAAAAACGGTCCTGCAAAGCTTCCTAAGTCAAAGCCAGGTGTTGAAGTTGGAGGTTAAGACTGATCCCTCAATCATGGGTGGAATGATTGTACGCATTGGAGAGAAATATGTCGATATGTCTGCAAAGTCCAAGATTCAGAAACTGAGCAAGGTTATGCGGGAGACTATGTGAAAGTCAATTTTCTATCATCATTGAAAATTTAAATTCTTAAACTTGGAGCATCAATAAAGTGCTTCCTAAACAAACCATATTATGTTTTTTGTTTTTAAAATAGAAATGCAATGAGCCTTTTATCTTTCTTTCAGTATCCTCCTAGTTTAAAGAAGAATTTGACCTCTGAAGATTATTTTTAGGAATTTATCGAAGCTGATGTCTATTATTGTTGTTAAATGCTATCAAATTGGTTCCAGCTCATAGTGGCCCTGTGTAGGGTTTCCAAGGAGCAGCTGGTGGGTTCGAACTTAACCGT